AGGACACAGCAGCGGCCTCTTTCCTTTCTTCCCTCCCCTGCTCGCTCTTTCCACCCTCCCACACGCCAGGCTCCGAACTGCACTTCACCTTCACCTGCCGGGGCCGAGCGAGAAAGGAGAAGGCGGATGCTGGGCTGGGAAGGGAGGCGGGGCAGGACCGGGAGAGGGAGGACGATCCCGTGCAGAGCGGCCGTCTTACTACTCTGGTCCATTCCCGAAAGCACCTGCCTGATGTCCAGGTCTTTGCCTGGTCAGGGCAACTTTCCAAATGACTTTCAAAGACCTGCTCTTTGCTGTTCAATTTCATGGGTATTTTGTAAGCATCAACTGGTAAGGGAAAAGATGACCCCGCCCTTGTCCAGGGACAATGGATAGAATGAAGGTGTCCACCTGGAGGGTGTGGGGAGTCCAGGGGGGCCTAAAACCAAACTAGCTTCTTTCTGCTGGCAGCAGGGGACCCCAGAGAGACAGCGAGCACCAGATCCAGCATGTTTATTTCCCACAACTGCGCTGAAAGCCAAGATGTTGGGAACACTCCTCTTCGTCACTACTGTACACTAACAGCGCCTACTACATGCCACACTCAGGGCTATGCTACTGTGTACTAACAGCGCCTACTACATGCCACACTCAGGGCTATGCTACTGTGTACTAACAGCGCCTACTATGTGCCACACTCAGGCTATGCTACCGTATACTAACAGAGCATTCCTCCTTGGCCTGGACCAACCAGAGTGCAAGAATGAGGGAACTGTTTTTGAGCCCAGAGGAGGAGGAGGCAGGATGCATAGTGTCTGTGGCACGTGGGTGGCCGTGCACCGGGAGCTTCACAGGCCTGTCTCCTTCACAGCCCACGATTCCCCTAATGAGGACGGCACCTGGTCCCATTGTACAGATGACAGAGCTGAGGCTGAGTGACGTAAGGGACAGCTACACACCCACTGATATGAAGACATGGTCCAGCAGGATGGCTAAGAGCCCAGGTCTGACTTCCGCCTCGGCTGGCCTCTAGTAGCTGGGTGGCCTTGGCCGAGTTATCTGCCCTCTCTGTGCCTGTTTCCTCATCTTTGAAGCCGAGGGTAATGACTGTACTTACCTCCTAGGATTCTGCAGAATTAAGACCCATGAAAGGCTGTAGGTAGGATCTCACACGGAATAAGGCTTAACACATGAAGGTTATCATAGCAATAATAATAATGATAACAACAACAACAATGTGTTATCGGGCCTGATGCACACTGAGCTGTCTGCCCACCGTGACGTAGGCTCATCACGGACCTGAGGGAGGAGAAAGGCTGCTCACGGGGCCGGGCCCCAGGTCACCAGTTAGTGGCTGGTCTGCTGGGGAAGCTGAGCCCCAGGCGCAGGGTGAACGTGGGGTAACGACGCTGACTGTGGCCACAAGGAGGGCTGTGGCGGGGACCAGCGCTGACCCAGAGGGCAGCGAGGAGGCTGCGGTGTCTCCAGCTAGCTTCCTGCCGGCCCTCCCGAATGGCTAAGATGACGGCCTTTCATTCCAAGGCCCACATTCCACAGGGAGCCCTTTGTGTGGCTGAGCTGCTCAGGCCGGCAAATGGGGCTCAGGGCCCCCCACCCGAGACCTGAGTGCCTTCCTGGCACAGCTCGGGCCGGGGCGGGACTGGGCACAGCTCCCATTGCCCCGAGTCTGCCAGGGCCTGGGAAGCTCTGAACAATGTGGATTTCGACACAAATGAGCCGGGCACTTTTCGCCACAGGGGAGGGCAGAGCAGGGGGAAAGGTCCAGCCAGGAGGGCAGAAGGCCAGCAGCCCTGTTTTGAACATTCGAGGCCGCTGCAGGCACCTCCTGTTGCCTGAAGAGATCAGACAGACAAAGGGGTGGGGGGTGAGGGGGGCTGTTTCCAGAGCACCTGGACCCCTCCCCGCAGCATCCTGCTGGGAACTGTCACCTGCGTGTGGGGCACCACAGCCAGCTGCGGCCACTGCTTGCTTGGGTCACCCTGGCCAGTGACTGCGTCTCTGTCCCTTCCCCTGTCCAATGGGAAGATTAAGGGCGCCCACCTCCTAGGGCGGGAGGGGAGGAGGGGATGGCCTGGGGTGCAGCGCCTCACTACTCTCACCTCCCCCCGCACGCCCCCCACGCAGCTTCTGCATCAGGGCTCTTCCTGCCACCACCCACCACCGGGGGATTCCCGTGGGGACGCTGTCCTCCCTCACTGCTGGGAGGGGCTCAGAGCTCTGGGGAGCGCTCGCCTTTGGCACAACTGGCCGGCTCAAAGCCGGCGGCCCTTCCAGCACCCAGGAGGGCAATGGCTCCGACACTCAGCACTGACCTCGGGGTGGCCCCACTCTGAGCTGTCTCCGCCTGCACATGCACCGCAGGGCTTCTGCAAGGACACGTCAACGCTGAGGGCCACACGACACTTTCTGTTGTCACTTGTCACTCATTCTCTCCATTTCTGGAGGGAGCCTGCAGATTCTAGGGACGGGGCCCTGGTGATTGAGGAGGAAGGAAGCCACGCAGGAGACACACCCGCCCAGATCTAATGAAGGCCAAGACCTCTGAAATGGCGTTGGCTGGCACAGGCAGGGTGTGCGGCGGGAGGGGGCTGATGGGGAGAGGTAGGGGCTCTCATTGGCCTGGACCTCAAATCTCAGCTCCACCACTTTCCACCTGAGTCACGGCGGGCACATCGCTGAGCCTGTGTCTCTGGCCCCAGGAGGGAGGCAGCAGTGCCCACAGCTGTCGACGAGATGAGACGAGCGGCCCCATGCTGAGAGCGGCCCTGGCACAGAGCAAGCCGCTCACAAACGACACTGTCACTGTTACTCCAACGCCCATGAAACGGGGCTGACCGTGTCGTCTCACGGGGCTGCTGGGGGGTTATGGGCAGAGCACACATACACGTCGGCCTTTGTTCCTGTATCACTGCATCTGCCCCGCCGGGTCTCAGCGGCGGGCGATGGGGCCGTGGAGACAGCCAATCCCACAGAAGCCTTCCGAGCGGGGAGGCAGTGGAGCTCGATTTATTGAAGGGGCTTCTCCCGGCCGCGGGGGAAGTGCTGAGCCTGCAGGGGTGGCGCGGGCCGGCAGAGCCCTTACACAAACATTTGCGAGGGGCACTGGGCCTGTCAATGCTGTCGATAGGATGGCTCTCTCTGCGGGGCGGGACGCGGGGGCTTATGAGTTGTGAGCCAGTGACTGTGCGTAACCCCGATTTCTCTGGTTTCTTGTTCACTTCGGACAGACGGCCCAGCCTGTGCCTGACACCGTGCCAGGCCCGGGGGCCCAGAGAGGAACTGATTGGTGATGAGATGAGCATGACAGTCCCACTCGGGACAGAGGTGGGAGAGCAGAAGACGGAGCAATCTCTGATACCTGGGAGGGGCGGGGAGAGGGGCGGCTTTCTGGAGGAAGTGCCATTCGAGTGGGCCGTAAAGGCTGCATAGGCACTTGCCAGGTTACAAACAAAAATCCTGAGGGGCAAAGCATTCTCAGTAGAGGGAACAGCATGTGCAAAGACCCTGAGTCCTACCCGGCTGGGCCCCGTGAACTCTGGGAGGTGTAGTGGGAGGCAATAGGCTACAGAGGCGCTGGGTCAGCAGAGGGGTTTTGTGCGGGGGACGCAGTCCTGCATCGCTGTGACCTGCTCAGGTCTGCCCGCTGCCCCCACAGGACCAGCGAGGCCACCTGGAAAGCTCACGGCTCCACAGAGCGACCTCCCCCAACCTGCCCCTAAGCTGTCTGATCTGGGAGGCCAAGTGTCACTGCTGGGACAGGAAACCATCACGTCCCCAGTGACACAGTGGGCCCAGCTGCCGATGGGGGTGGGGATGGGGACGGGGACGGGACAGCTAAGGGGAGCAGTGCAGGGGCAGGAGTAATGGCTCGTCCAGGAAAACATTATGAACCGGGGCACCACTGTCGGTGCTGGAACTCACTGTGGACAAAGGCAGCAGCCACGTCGGAGCACCATGGGGTGGGGGGAGCTGCAGGCAGACCACCCAGCCCCTTCACAAGGCCAGCCCCCTGCCTTCCCTGCCACCCCCCAACCCCCAACCCTGTGTGTCAGGCTCACACCACCTTGGGTCCCTCTGCTCAGGCAGCCCTTTCATGGGTACAAACATCCCCTGTGGGGAGGCCTTTCTGGACCTCTCACTCAAACAACGTGCCTAGCCTCTTCCACCTGAGCCCACAGCCCTGAGGTCACTGCTGCACCCCAGCCTCTTCCACCTGAGCCCACAGCCCTGAGGTCACTGCTGCACCCCAGCCTCTTCCACCTGAGCCCACAGCCCTGAGGTCACTGCTGCACCCCAACCTCTTCCACCTGAGCCCACAGCCCCGAGGTCACTGCTGCACCCCAACCTCTTCCACCTGAGCCCACAGCCCTGAGGTCACTGCTGCACCCCAGCCTCTTCCACCCGGGCCCACAGCCCTGAGGTCACTGCTGCACCCCAGCCTCTTCCACCTGAGCCCACAGCCCTGAGGTCACTGCTGCACCCCAGCCTCTTTCCACCTGAGCCCACAGCCCTGAGGTCACTGCTGCACCCCAGCCTCTTCCACCTGAGCCCACAGCCCCAAGGTCACGGCTGCACCCCAACCCAAGGACAGGGCAGGTGCCCACTAAGCCTCTCTGGGGAGGGACTGAACAATCGCGAGGCCACGTGACACCACGTGGGTAAGAGGTGAAATGCGGTGCTGCCACCGTAGGCCCCGCAGGAAGCGGATGGTCCTAAGATCGGGTAACGGCGCAGGGTCCCGCACAGGGGGCAGGGTGTAGGGAAATTGGCCTGAGAGGCCCCTGGAGGGGAGCCTTTGTTGGGAGCCAGCCCACAAGCCCGGCAGGAAGGGAGGCAGGGTACACACCCTGACCCCACTCCTCTCCCTGACTTCCCGCCACATCTCCCAGTGACCCAACAGAAGCCAAAAGGGCATGGCGATGCCGTCCACACCGGCTGCCTCCCGGTGCCCGACCCCAGGCCCATGGGCCAGGCAGCTATCCCGCAGCCCCGCCACTCACCGTGGAAGTGCTCAGCCGTCTTCCGCCGCAGGGCCTGCAGGGTCACCTCGGAGTCCGCCCACTCCAGCACCAGCCTCCGGCCGTACAAGTGGGTGCTGTGACACAGGGCATTGAAGGCTCTCTGGGGACAGGACGAGAAATAAAATACAGCGCGTCAGCTAAGCCCTGACCTGGAGCACTGCTTTCTGTCCTGCCGGCACTGCAGACCCAAAGGCCACCTTTGGGGCCTATAACACCTCCCGGGAGAGGCGTACCAGCCGATGGCACGTCTATTTCCTTAGTGGGTGACGTTCCCAGGCAGCGAGCTGCAAGGGCCCTGCAGTCAATGCTGCCGCCCGGGCCTGTCGTTGGGTCTGGCCAGGCGCGACGTCTTTCCCAGGGCACATCCGTTAACCTGCTCCCCCCGCCCGGCTGCCAGGGGCAGCGCCGGGGAAGAAAGCCGAGTGCTGCCTGCACTCGATGGCGACCAGGCAGGCCCCTCATTTTCACGTGGGGCTCTGTCCCTCGCTGGTCCTGGCGATTCTGGCCATCTCTCTGCTGCCCGCCGCCTCCTCACTGCCCCCTCCTTCCCAGCCACCAGCTCCTACCTCAGCGGCTTGGGTCCAGCCCCGCGCTCTGCCCTCTCACTGTCTTCGCTCTTAGGACCCCCACACTCTGCCCACTTCCCTCTTTTTGGTTTTTGTTTTGTGGCAGCTTTGAGATCTAGGTCACATGCCATTCAATGGTCTCTACTAGTCACAGAGCTGCATGACCTCAAGCACCACAACCAACCTTAGGGCTTTTCATCATCATCACCCCCATGGAAGCCCCATGCTCACCAGCAGTCACCCCCACCCCCCACGCTCCCCGGAGCAGCAATCTACTTTCTGTCCCTGATTTGCCTATTCTGGACATCACACAAAAGGAATCACACAGAACTGGCGAGTTTCTGTCAAACATCGCTGTGCTTCAAGCTAAATGGCGTGGGCAGGGGCTCTCCCTGAAGCATCCCAGGGTACAGAGGCCACTGTTTCGTGGTCAGGAGCCCAGAGTCCGGAGCCACCCTGCCTGGGCCCCGCACGCCCTAACTTCTAGACCTTGACAGAATGAATCTTCCTGGTCTCCGTTTCCTCATCTATAAAATGGGGATGTTAATGGTTCTCCAGTCCCAGGGTGCTAGGAAAGATGAAAAAGACGTGACAGGCCCAGAAAGTGTGGGTGCAAACAGTCGGCGCTCATTAGGTGCTGTTCTCGCCGTGGCGTTGCTAGTGCGGACGTGTGGCCTGCGCACTCTCTCTGCAGAGGCCAGGCAGGCGCTGAGCTGGAGAGGCTGGCTCCCCAGCTCGGCTCATCAGCACAGGAGACCCACAGTGGCCGCGGGGAGTCGCTGGGTGGCAGGACGCAGCATCTGCCTCGGAAGGAGCGCGGTGGGTGTGTCCTTCTTGCTTCTTAGATGCTTCGAGGAGGCAGCGTATAACCAGGGTTTTGGCCCTCGACAGCAGCATGACCGGGAGGGGTGGGCCTGTGTCTCCCAAAGGGAGATCCGTGGAAACCCTAACCCCTCAGGCTGCGGGCCTGTTTGGAAACAGGGTTTTTGCAGGTACAGTTCGTTCAGTTAAGAGGACATACTGGAACGGGGTGGGCCCCAAATCCAAGGACTGGTGTCCTCCTAGGAGCCGGCCTGTGAGGATAGAGGCTGGAATGCCGAGCCTCCACGCCGAGGAGCTGGCTGGCGAGAGGCGAGGAGCGAGCATGGCACAGTCTCTCCCTCAGAGCCTCCAGGGGGAGCCGGCCCAGGACACCTTGACTGTGGGCCTCTGGCCTCTGGAGCTGTGAGAGCAGACCATTCTGTTGCTCTACACCACCCAGGCTGTGGGGCTTTGTTACAGCCCCTACGACAATGACACAGGGGCCTGGGGAAGCCAGCTGCCCTCTGAGCCCGTGTCCTCGTCCGTAAACAGGCTATGGTGGCCCACAGCTATTCAGTAACAGCGTGTGCAAAGCTCGAGTGGAAGGCGGGTGGGACCCGCGTCTTTCTCAAACCAGACATGTGGCCGGTGGAAGGAATGCTTTGTTCTCCGCCATGCTTTTCCGAGAAGGGCCAGGTGCAGGAAACTTTCTCTCTCCCTTTTTTTTTAACTTTAATTTAAAAAACTCTCTGTGACTGCCAGCAGAGCCTCTGCGTTCCTTTCCACGAGGATATAAACGTGCATCTGGACTCCGAGCCGAAATGGCCCATTCAGAGCTTTACAACACATGCGCTCTCAGCTGGCGAGGCAGGGAAACAGCCTGATGGGAGCTGGGGTTTGAGACGGGGGAGAGCTTGGTCGGGAGCTGGCGCGGCGGGTACTCCATCCTGGCGCCAGGGTCCCTGAGGAGCTGCAGTTCCAGGTTCGCAGGCGGGCGGGCGGCCGAGTGTATCTGGTGGAAGCTGAGTTGGAACTTGGAAGGATAAAATAGCAGAGCCTGGGAGGGCCCGGCAAATGCCCAGACGCGACCTCTGACCCCAGCCGTCAGACGTCTGATCCCCTCTCACCCTTGGAAACCCAGTCTCCGTCCCCGTGTCATACAGACCCTGGAGAGGTCTCATTCGCTGAATGAGTTGCTGAAAATTCCCTCTTGGCCTCCCTCTGACAGAACCCCTCTCCAATTTTCACCTCCTTTTCTTCGTTAGGGCTTTTCACAGCAGGTAAGATTGGGGGCTTGGGACCTGAGCCACTTTGGTTCAAATCCCGGCTCTACCACTTATGAACTGTGTGGTCGTGGGTAAGCTGCTTACCCTCTCTGAGCCTCAGTTTCCTCAGTGCAGAAGAGAGGAGGCAGCGAAGGATGGTTGGGAGGATTTGATGCGCTAACACCTGCAAGGCCGCCTGGCACAGTGTAAGCCACTGAGCACTGGCTGTTATTGTTACTATGCTGCATGCCCGCCACTTCCCATCACCACCTACAGAGCAGGAACAATGGCAGGCAGGACACAAAAGCCCTTTTGTATGTGAGGTCTGAGCACAGTACGTGGGTCTCTAGGAACAGCCGAGTTACCTCTCCTAGCAGGAGTCAGATTAACACGAAATCAGGCTGCAGTCCTACATGCCCACTGCCCGGTGGCGGGAATGTGGTGGCCTCAGTGTCACAGGCGGCGAGGACAGTGACTCAGGCTAAAATCGGGTAATCAAAGTCACTGCATTTTATTAAAAGAGCCTGGTGAGTGTTTGTCCTATGTGAGGCATTCGAGGAGGGGTGTGTGTGTGTGTGTGTGTGTGTGTGTGTGTGTGTATGAGGAGACACAGACATGGGCAGGTGCGAGGATGCACGGCGGTACCTGGGGGGTCCTGGGCACAGCGGAGGCGAAGTGCAGCCCCAGCCTCTGGCCTGAGGTCCAGCAGCACCTTCCTCTCGGCCTCTGGGCTACACCTGATGCACTGAGACCCACGCCACCTTCTCCCCGGAGACAGAGGTCTGACCTCGGTTCCGGCACAGCGCACCTCTGCCGAGTCGGCCAGTACCTCGGAGGCTCGGTGGGTACCGCGGGGCTGCGTGTCCCAACAGAGGAAGTGGAGTCAGGCGACTTGGCCCTGGTGTCTCTCCAAACCCTGCTTCCGCTGCCTGGTTTCCTCCCTTGCAGCCCAAGGGCCTTCGCTGGCTGTGGGCCATGGATGTCCTGGGTTCCAGAGCCCTAAGCACATGGCCTCCCCTATGCACGAGGACTGACACAATTCCCCATGTCAGCAAAGGAGACACTGAGGCACTGGCCCCGTCTGCGCAGGTCAGCCTCCTGCTTCCTTCCCCTTCCCGCTCCATGCACTCGTCTCCCGGCTTCTCAGTGCTCTTCCTCTGGACCATCTGGGGGCAGGTTCTGCTTCCTGACCCAGATGGCGGCCTGAAGTGCCTGCCTCGGCCCAGGGCAGATGGCCTCCCACCTTGGATAGCAGGCCTCGTGCCCCGGCCCCGCTCAGAGGTGTGAGGCCGGCAGGGACTGCTCTGCGCTTCCAGCTGGCGTCGAGCTGCCCATCCGGTTCTCTGGCTCGGTGGTCCCGGAATCACACCTCTGTGATCTCCTCTGACCTGAGCCACCAACTAAGGACCCCCCCGAGCCCTCGCCTCAGCTGCCTTTCCCGCGTTCCCGGGAGGAGACCTGCCGGGGCGGAGGGGGATGATGGCGTGGGCTCGGCTGTGCCCAGCCTGGCAGCGTCTCTCCAGAACAGGGAGGGCCCTGGACGGCTGCCAGCGTGGCGCAGTCCGACCTTTCCATAGCTCTCCCTGGAGACAGACCTCCTCCCTGGCAACAAAGGCCCATTGGATGCCCTTGGCAGGACTCCCATCCCAGGGCCGTGGCTCTGGGCAGAGCCGAGGACGGGCCTTCTGTCTTTCCAAGTCCAGGGCGCCCTCTCGGCCCCTCCTGCTCTGTGTCTTGCAGACGCCAAAGCCACCTGAACACGGACACTGCCAACCTGTCCCAAGCCATCTGTGTCCTCATCGCCTGGAGGAAACGTGACCTAAGCCGGCCAATGACCACGTGCGCCCAGGATCCCAGGGAGCAGGGCGCCGGGCTGGGCTGGAGCTGCTGGCCTCCTTCCCTGCCCAGCGGGCAAAGAACCGGGGCCTGTGACTGCTGGGAGGAGCCTGCTGCCTCGGGATGCTGGGTCCTGTGCTCTCAGGGACCGTCCTTCTCCTCCTGCCCCCACGCTCCCGGAGTCCTGTACACAGGCCCTGGGCCCTCCTGCCGCTGTTTCTGGCCCCACAGGGCTGGAGCTGGGAAGAGGCGGGTCCTGGAACCCGTGGGGCTCTTTGCACAATACTGGGTGACTGACCGTGCACCCCCACTTGGCACCCTGTTCCACTCCAAGGTATGATCTCGTGGAGCTGAGGGCAAGCTTCTGAGAGAAACACCCAGGGCCCCACTTCCAGGCTGTTGTGCCTAAAATCTTCAGATAAACAGCGGTCTCTTCCATTCAGTTATCCCTCCATCCCCTCAGCTCAATCAATTCAATTCAACATCCTGAAGCCCTGCTGTGAGCCAAAGACCAAAAGAGGGGATGTGAAGGGGACATCACCTCTGACCTCTGGGAGATAAACGAGGACCAGTCCCGGGTAGCCCAGGTCAGAAGCGACAAGGCATGAGGCGCGTGGCCTGGTAATGGCCGT